CATCTACGTTGTGGATATAATAACTTGGTGTGTGTGTGTGTGTGTGTGTGTGTGTGTGTGTGTGTGTGTGTGTGTGTGTGTGTGTGTGCTTCCTTCTCTTCTGTCATGTTCTCATTGTATCCTGAATGAAGGATTAATCCTGGGACCCATTGTCCCTCCAGAGCCACTCAGACAAGCAGCCTGTCAGAAGAGCCTCTGAACCTGTCCCAGGTGCCCAGAGCCTCTGTGCCCAACGTCAAGAAGTCACTGCTGGGCAACCTGGCAGCCTCTTTCTTTGCCTTGGGGGCTTAGAACCTTCAAAAGGCTGGCATTGCAAACGGTGTAAAGACGGGCAGTTGGTGGCTACTACTTTTCTTACAACCAACAGAAGCTGCGTCACAAATATTGTTCTCAGCTGCTAGAAAAGTTGTTCAGCCCAAGAATGGTGTGGAAGATTCCCACAAAACCCAGGGGAACTCAGGGGTCTCTCCCCCCCCCCCCGCATTCCTAGAGGTTCCCCACCATCAGCAGGGCCAGGGGGCCAAGGGGTAGCCTGTGTGTTCCATGGTGCAACCAGCATCCTTGTTCCCCCCCCTTGGGGATAACCGGTGTGTCCCAGAGGCGCACTCACTGTGTCCACACCCCCGGCTGTTAACTCGGTGACGTTGGCCTTGATGGAGTCGAGAGGCAGCTCGGCCTGGACCAGCAGTTCTGCCATGATGCCCGAATACTTGCGAGGTTTCCCCAGGCAAAACTCCTGGTAGATGTTCTGGATGCATTTGTCAGCTGGAAGAGATGACCCAAGGAGGGGAAGCCCTGTGAGCCCCCCCGCCCCGAGACCCTGCTCCATGTGGGCCCCACCACTCAGGACACAGGGAATCTGAATGGCGTGCAGAACACCAGGGACCTCTCTGTCCATCCTTCCTTCCTTCCTTCTTTTTTCTTTCTTCCTTCCCATCCTTCCTTCCTTCCAACTCCTCCTCCTCCTCCCTGCAAACCCCACTCCAGGCCAGGACTGATGGTGCTACTTATTGGTTCATGAAATGTCTGCAAGAAAACCACCAAGCTCAGAGAGACCACACCGTTCAATCCTGAGCTGCAAAGACTCTCCTTTGTCCGACCCATCCTTCTCCTGGGTGGGAAGAGGGCTTCCAGAATGGCAGGGTGGAGAGAGGCTCTGTCGTGCTGGAGCAGCTTCCTCTCTTCTGAGCCCTTCTCCCATCGCCTCCCCACCGGACAGGAGGCGGAGAGATATCTAGGGGGCCTGAGGGCAGCTGCGAAGGGCCTGGCTCTGGAAGGACAGATGCTGTCCCTGAAGTTCTCAGAGAATGACCTTTAACCAACCCCAGACCCCACCCCATTGTGTTATCTCTCTCTCTCTCTCTCCCAACCCACTTTGCAGTTCCCCTTCAGGCCTCTGCCCCCCCTCCCCAGTTGGAAGTGATCTGCACCCCCGCAAACCCCCCTGCCCGGCTCCTCCCAGGCTGACCATGGTTGAAGATGGTGTCCCAGGCCTTCAGGTGCTCCTGCCAGAGCCGGTTGTTCACCCAACGCATCACGCCTGGGGGGGTGAAGAGCAGAGGCAGCGTGGTCTGCAGCATGGTCTCCACGGCGCTGATGAACTCCTGGGACTCGGGCTTGGGACTTTCTTCCAGGAGGCCCAGGCGCTCCCCATACAAGGCGTAGCTGCTGGCTGTTGGTGAAGGGTCACGGGGGAGAGGAGAAGGTCAAGCCGCAGGGCCCAGGCAGAGAAAGGAGGGAAATCACCCACCCGCCACAGTCCAGGGGTAGGAGGCTTATTTGGGCCATTTGGTCCCTTCTGGAATTCTCCTACAAGAGGAGATCAGAAGGATGGCCGATACCTGGACAGGTGTGTCACCGGCCGATTCATCCATCAGCCGCCTCCACTTTGAGGTTCTCCAGATAGGGCAGGTTCAACTTCCACTTCATGCTCCTGAAATGGCTAGTTAGCTTTGGAGATTAGGACCGGGGTTTAACTTAGCAACTCAGTTAACTGGGTTTTCTGGATTCGCACAATCCTCTGAAACTTGTAAAACCAGGGCTGTCCAACCTCAGCCACTTTTAAGACTTGTGGACTCCAGCTCCCAGAATTCCCTAGGCAACTAAGCTGACTGGAGAGTTCTGGGAGTTGAAGTCCACAAGTCTTAAAGTTGCAAAGTTGGACTTCCCTGCTTTAGACTTATGGACTCCTTGGGACACCCCAAAGACTACATGTCAACTCGTAAAGTTGCCATGGTGAGGAAAGGAGGGGGGGGAGCACATTCCATGCCTACCTCAGATTACTACCGCAGGCTTGGGAGGCATGCACCTCGTTAGAGAATGTGATTTGTGACACAGACTGAGGAGAGGGAAGAAACAAAGTTCAGCCATCATTTACGTGAAGTCAGATCTGACTGCAATGGAGTAGTGTTGAAATGGTGTTCCTAATAAATGACTGGTTTTCTTTTGAAACTTGGCTCAAGGTTCATGAATTAATTAGGGCATCTTTCAGAAACCTGACAGACAGACAGATCTAACCTTAAATTATCGCCGAACGTTGTCCCACTTTCTTCCCTAACCTAAATGGACTTTGGTTGGAAAGCTGGCTGGCTAGAAAATTCTGGGCGTTGAAGTCCACAGGTCTTAAAAGTTGTCAAGATTGGACACCCTTGTCCTGAAGGGAAATGCAACATGGGGCTGACAGACAGACAGACATCTTTGGCAAAGGGGCCCTTCCATAGGCAGCACAATGGGCTGGGACCTTCTGGGAGTTGAAGTCCACAGGTCTTAAAAGTTGCCACAGTTGGACACACCTGCCCTGAGCCAAGGCTTCCCTTGCAAGGCTGAGCTACTGGCTGAGTCACAAGGTTAAGGCTAACCAGCTGGTTAGTTGAATGCAACTGTGGGAGGTTTAAATGAATTGGTTAAGTAGCTGTCAGACGCTCCTGAATCCCGGAACGTGACAGTAAGCCAGCTCTACCCGCCTGGGTTAGGTCCTCGGATGTATGCACACCCCGCGTGCGCGCCCAGTTCCACCGCAGACATCCTGGTAAACCAGGGAGGGACACCGCTAATAGTGTACCTTGTCTTCCAGGTTCCACCCCAGTGGTAGGGGGTGGCATGTCAGCCCTTGGGCTGCCATTTGCGCAGACGGGTCCAGCATGCCCTGAGAGGGTTACGTCAATGGCCCCGTGTACAGGGATGATCCTGCCAGCTTTGGCCCTCAGTGGCTGAAGTAGAAGCCTCTCTGTTCTCGTGACTGCCTGTTTCTCCATCAGCTTTGGACCCTCCCCCTGCTGGAGGGGCCCCTTGGGGTCCTTTTCCCTGCCCCTTCCAAGTAACACCTAGCCCGCCTGAGGAAGGAGGCCCGCCTGGCTTTCAGAGGGAGCCAGGAGAAGAAGAGCTCCCAGGCCTCAACAGAGGTGTCCCCAAGGGTGAGGCGCAGCGGGGCGCATGCAGAAGGGAGTGAGGCCCTGCTGGGACGGGGCCCTCTTGGGAGGCCTGCCTGTACCTTCCAGCGTGAAGCGGAAGAGGTCGTGGTAGAGATCAACGGTCAGAGACCCTCGGCTGTTCTTCCGGACCTGCCGGTGCATGAAGGCCACAAAGTCCTCAGCCACCGTGTTCAGGAAGGGCAGGAACTTGCGGGTGCCGGCAGGGCTGATCACTTCCTTGTTGAGGATGAGCCGGTCGGAGCGCCACTCTTCCCCGTTCCTGCAAGATAAGGTCACCCCCAACAGGTGAGGCCTGGCTCCATGCAAGACCTCCGTGCCCCCATTCATTGAAGGAGCCTCCCTTGTCTCTCTAGTGGCGGGATTCAAAAACTGGTTCTGTGGGCGTGGCTTGGTGGGCATGACAGGGGAAGGATACGGTAATATCCTCATTTCCTCCCGATCAGCTGGGACTCGGGAGGCAGAGAATAGATGGGGGCGGGGCCAGCCAGAGGTGGTATTTACTGGTTCTCCTACTCAGAATCTTCGCTCCCGGTTCTCCAGAACTGGTCACAACCTGCTGAATACCACCTCTGCTCTGCCCTCCCCAATCCAGACCCTTCCCCCTTCCCACTCAAGCCCCTTCAGACACCCCCTTCCCTTCCATGAATTGTCCATCCATGTCATCATTAGTGCAAGGAGGAGGACAGGATTCAGCAGCCCACCTTCATTTCAAAGACAAAGGCTCCTCTTTTGGAGACAGCAAAATCCACACTTTGGACAGAGAGGACAGCTGGTTTGAAAGAGGAGTCGAAGAGGGCATTTATGTCCAAATTGAGCAGCCCTCCCTCAATAGAAGGGGACGTATACAACAACCTCATCTATCTCCAGTCTACAAGAAGGTCCTTTCAACAGTTCCAAGAGGCCCCACCCCTGTTTGCAGCTCTCAGGTGACCCTGAGGACACAGAGAAACCTCCAAGTGGCCTCAAGGACCCTCTCAAAGGATGCAAATGTCCAGCTGTCTGCAAGGAGTATCAATCCTTCCCTTCCCCTCCATCCAGTCAGAGCTGAAGAAGCTCTTTGGAGGAGAAGCAAAACCTCTTCAAAGAAAAACCCTCTTGAAAAAAGCACCTTTGGGACCACCTGGGCTGACAGGGAACCTCCGCAGACATTATTCCAAGAAGGTTGCTGGAACCAGAGATGGGGAGAGCTTTTCTGCCCAAGGTCCACTTTCCTTGAAGGAAGGGGAGTTTCAGGATCACGAAGGGAGCTGGGCCTTGGGCCGAAAAGGCCTCCCCTTCCTCAGGTAAGGATGACCTTCTACCAGGACCTGCCCATGATAGAAAGGGAGACCCCTTGTACTTCTGGCTCATGGGTTCCTTATGCCAGTGTTTCTCAACCTTGGAGACTTGAAGTCCTGTGGACTTCAAGTCTCCAAGGTTGAGAAACACTGG